ACCTCGAATGGAAAAGAATTAAGTGCTCCAACCAAAAGATAGAGTAGCTGAATGGATAAGAAAACAAGACCCCTACATATGCTGCATACAAGAGACTCACTTCAGATTAACAGATACACACAGACTAAAAGGAAGGAGATGGAATAAGGTATTGCTTTGATGGGCACTATGATTTCATTTGTATGCGGAATCTAAGGAATAAAAAGAACAAACAAATCAAAAACAGACTCATAAATATAGTGGACAATTTGGTGATGGACAGAGGGGAGGGGTTTGGGGGACTGGGAGAATGGGGTGAAGGATTAAAAAAGTACAAATTAGTAGCTGATGAATGGTCATAGAGATGGGGAGCATGACATAGGGATGCAGTTAGCATTAATACGTTGGCTAGAGGAGGGAGGGAGCAATTGGGGGGATCATTTTACAAACTATATAGATGTCTAACCAATGTACTGTATACTTGAAACTAATTAAAATTAAAAAAAAAAATTTTTAATAGAAAGAAGTGTAGATTCTCTATAAAAAAATGTGTGTTGCAGAGAAAAGCAAATTTCTTCGTCAATTACATTGTAAACAGCTCTTTAACCACCTCATTTTAAATCTCTGTCATTTACAGAGAGTCTTTGTCTTACTCGGATACATTTTGGAGATATGTTTCATCTTCAGAGAGATTCATAGACAGGATTCTGACACCTATAAAATACAGGTTTCTGATAAACTGTCAGATTATACCTTTGAACTGGATGAGGATTTGCTAAATTCTAAGAAAAACCTGAATTCATAAAACTGTTAACCAAAAGAGCAAGATCAACAAGAATTAATAACATGAGACTGAATGAATTGATAAGGATGATTACAATTTTTATTACTTTTTATTTGAAATATTGCTGGTTCTTTAATCTTTTGTTTTTCCAGATATAAGGAAACCTTTTCTCTCAAGCTACCTATGACTTAGAGCAATTTGGTAAATTACACCTTTGTAAGAAGAATTGAAACATTTACCTTTTTCTCCCTACTTGATCCCTCCAGAATTCAGAAACTCTCAGTGAGTATTCTTATTTTCAAGGCAACATTGTTATTTACATAAATTAATAATAATCTGTTCTCCTTGGAACAGGACACAGTTGGAAACTGGTAATAACTACCAAGGCTTTCACTGGAGTGTCATATTTGAGAGAGACACGCATAGACTCAGATATGAGCATACAGCTTTAAGGAATTAAGATAGACTTATGGAAGTCAATAAAACCTGTGGAGGTATCAGCCTGGTATTTTGCTTACAGTGTTCTCAAAAGCTTTACCAGGTGAGTAAAGAAGGTCACTTCCTGGCAGGTGCAAAACCTCAAGTATTTTGGGTACCTCAAGAAGAAAGGAATTCATTCAAATCTATAGGTATTGCACGCCAGGTCTAATGGCAAGTCCTTGCCTTGATTTTTCTGACCTCGGGGGGCCTTTTAAATTCAATCTGAAGATTCCTTATGTAAATTTCCAGCAAAGCAGATTTAAAAGAGCCTATATGGTTACTTACAATTCTTGCTATTCCTATGTAAATAACAATTTTGTTAAAACCAAATTTATTTCACAAACAAATTTGTCTTATCTGGCTATCTTTGGTAAAAGATAGCCAAAGAGCCGGTAAAGAGAAAAATTATGTTTCAGTAATACACCTTTTTGGATGTTAGATTCTAGTGCTGTTAATCATCTTTTGAGGTTTTGTTCATACCTATAAAGTGGACTGGATCCTGATTTCTTCTAGTTTACTCTAATATCTAGCTATAACTCTCCAAACTTACACCTTCAATTTTTCTCTTATTTTTTGATTTGTAATCATTGAGAACTGAATCTGCCCTTTTCCCAAAGCCACACAAGTTAAAGTGGGCAACTTCATGTCAACTTTGGAAATCACCACAACAATTTATATGTAGGCGATGTTTTGTGCCTGTTGCAGAAAAAATCACCAGAGACGTTCAAACTGAAAAGCAGGAGACTCTATCCCATTGTCACTGCCTGCCTTCACTCCATCTGAAGATGCTTCAAGCCAGATACTTTGAAATATTCTTGACTGGCAGCCTTCAGAACTTGGAAACTAGGATTATAGTCTGTTTCAATGATTAACCACTGTTTTTCTTTTTTTTCTTTTAAATAATCAAGTATTTAATAGAGATGCCTCTTATTAAATACTTGATTATTTGCACCACAGGCCTAACTTTGGGAGCCATCTGCATCATCACTTCCTAAAATGAGAGACAACCGTTTATCTGAACTGAACTTTTCTCAAAACTGAGACTGGTTTCTAAAACTGATATATAATAATAATGTCTTAATGCCTTTCCTAATGCTTCAACCTAAAAATTGGCAAGCATGTCTCTATCCCGTTTCCCCGCTCTGAGGGGCATGATGGACCTGAGTAAGGCATTGCTACCTTGGCATCAAGGGACTTTAAAACATTTTGTTTGATCTACAATGCTTTCTAAGAGAAAATACTGATCAGAGGGGAAATGAGGAATAGAGTGAAGAAATAAAATGGAGTTGACATCAGGCAGGGGAAAACCATGTAGTGTGACAAAGGGGTGGGGTGACCCACTGCGGTGACCTAGATGGGGCTTTGGGTTCCCTTCTGCCACCTCCAGCCCAGGGCTGAAAGTAAGTCATGGGGTGAGAGAGCTGCTGTTACTCACCCTTGGGCCCCCACACTTGCCCACTTATGGGAAGGGGACCTGAAGTGTGAAAGAGGGATGAGAACTTTCCACCGCCACCCCCCCAACAGCACCAGGTGGCATCAGATTTTCCTCCTCTCTTCCTCAGGTTCTTCATGACATCCTCAGACACCATCATCCCATCATCACCCCGTCCCTCTCTCTCTCTCTCTCTCTCTCTCTCTCAAACACCCTTCCAACTCTCTCCTTCAGCCTCCTCCCTTAATAGCCCATGAACTGTGGTTCTTGCTTCTTGGAGAAGAGTTGACTATGGGGTAGTGGCTAAAGGGGCCTTCAAGGCAACCAGCAGGAGAGAAATACTGCGCTCCTCAATACTTCATTCCTTTGCTGTATTCAGGGTTACGCTGTGCTGGGCCTTTCCCAGTGGTACTTGCCTTCCCCTGTAATGACCCCTCTCTCAGTGTTGGGAGAGACCCAAGAGAAAAGAGTGAAATACGGTGGGGACCACATGGCTCTGAGAATCAGGATGCTTGGAAATGCTTTGAGGTTTGAGGAGATCCCCTTCCTTCTACCCTCCAACTAGGCAGATGTCTGGGACAAGGCCCTTCAGAGGCAGAGGGTGGGTGGAATCCGCAGACCACATCCCAGGGATCAGACGCCATATGAAGCTTTATGAATTGTTTCAAGCAACCAGAAAAACACAGAAAATATAATATTTGCGTACCCACCCTGAATGAAGACATGTTAGCATTTCAGCATCTGTCTTGGCAGCAGTAAAGCTTGACATTCTTTATTTTCATCAGGCTCAAAATCAGTTTCCAAACAGTGTCCTACATTTTCCCCACAGCCACGGGGTCCCTGGCGTCTGAGTCCCCAATATCTGGGCTGATTCACACACTCTACTATTCCCCCGAACATGAGCGACCATCACCCCACCATCACCCTACCATCACCGCCCCAAAGAAGGTCTTCCCTCTCCTGTAGTCCACCATATCGGGATGACTGATGTTGACGTACACCCTCTCGCCCCTCCGGAGCTGCACCAGGCCGCCGAACCCCACGCTGGTGTACCACAGCCTCCTGGCCGGGTCCAACACCACGCTCACGGTCTCGGCGCCCTCGAGCAGCAGCTCGGGAGTCCCGGGTCCATAGGCGCCCCCAGCCCGGTACAGCCGGCTCTGCAGCGTGACCGAGGGGCCGAGGGGGTCCCTGTCCGCAGAGGGCGCCCGGCCTCGGTAGCCGACGTGACAGTACAGGTAATAAAGGCCGTCCCGCGGGAGGGCCAGCCCCTCGGCGCTGGAGAACTGTGTCCCGCTCCTCAGAAACGCCTCTTCTTTCTTCGCCTCCCAGCCCAGCCCCTGCCCCTGCGTCCACGCGCCTGTGGAGAGACCCGCCGGTCGGCTCTCAGGAATCCGATCCCGAGAGGAGCGACCCAGGCCCGGGACTCCTAGGAGGCGGGGCAGAAGGGACAGGCGGGGAGGTGGGTGCTTCGAACCCCCTGCAGGAACCGCGCCGGGAGGGGGTGGGATGATGGTGCTACCTCTGCAGTTAATACGAGTTGGGGACTGGGGGCACCCCAGTTGGGGACCGGAGTGCGGAGCGTTGTGCTGGGGAAATCCAGGCCGGGTTTTGCCTGCCCCGGGAGGGAAGCAAGGAGCTAGAACGCGGGACAGGCGGAAGGGTGGGCCCTTCAGGGGCTAGAGGTGGCGAAGAGAGTCTGAAACCAAGCAAGGCCGCGACAGAGCAAAGGGGCTCTAACCCGGGGCGAACAGAGCTGGCACCCTGGGACCAGTCAGGTCTGTGGGACCCTTACCTATGAGGTGAGCGGCGGGGAGCCTGGGGCTGGGATCTGTTTCTATGTCCTGCTCCGGCAGTTCCTGGGACCCTGGAAGGGATGAATAGTCCACGTTTGGTCCCCCTGAAAGCACAGGGCGCCAGGGCCTAGGAATGGGGCACCCGGATTCCTGGAGGAAGAAAGGAAGACAGTATCTGGGGATACAGATGGATGGGAGCTGGGGGTCCCTGAGGGGCCGAAGCAGGGAGTGGAGATGGTCTGCTCTTACCCAATCGCTGCTGGGCCTGGGCCTGGGCCTGGGCCTGTGCCCCGGAGTCTGTGCTCCCTGTTACCTGGGTGGGTGGGGTCACAGTGCCCAGAGTTCAGTCTTAGATGAAGCCAGCCCCACCCCTCCCATTGTAGACCCAAGCTCCAAGCCTGGAGTTTGTCCCACCAGCCTCACCCCAACACCCATCTCCCTAGAAGGGCGAGCAAGCAAGGCAGATGTGCTCGAGCAGAGACAGAGGTCTGAGTATGTCTTGGGAAGAGGAGAGGAGGCAGACAGACTACGAGGAAGGGGCTTGAAGACATCAGGACACACGGCATCACAGGAACATGGAAAGTGAGCCAGCAGCAGACATCCCCATCAGAGACAGCCAAACCAGCTGAGCAGGTGAGGCAAGAGACCCTAGGCATAGCCAGAGGTAAGTGAGCACGAACAACATACAGCCCTCTGGAACACTTGTTGCAGCCACTCACCAGTCCTCCCTGCTCCTGGGGCACCACGGCCAGAACAGCCAAGACAGTGATAGGCACAGCCAGTAGCAGGGTAACCAGGGAAGTGGCTCCTGCCACAGCCAGCAGGAGGCAGCCCTTCCCCTGGGGCCTCCTCCCCCAGCCCTCCAGCCCCAGTGCCCCCATTGAGACTGAGCCAGGGCCAGGGCAGGGGGGCTTTCATACCTCAGGGGTGGGGCCACCCCTTCCCCCATAGATTCACACACCTGGCTGGTACTTTCCACACACCCCTGCTCCCCTCACCCAGCTTCCTGTTTACCCAGAGCTGGGGTGCAGCAGCTGGATGCTTGTGTTCTCTGAACTAGGGAAGGAGTTCGGGTGAAGAGACAGGCTTTCAGGGCAGATCTAGAGGGGGTCTTAGAGATCTTCTGGCTCGATAGGGAGGGAAACTGAGGCCCAGGGAAGGCAGGTAGCTTGCAGAAAGTTAGGTAGCAAAATTTTAATGAGAACATAGAACTCTCGATTTCCAATGCATTCTGCATCTTTCTATACCCCAGAGGTGAGTGCTGGAGAGAGGTCTACATCCACATCCTTGAGGTCAAGAACTGGGGTCTTGATGGATGGATGTCCAGCTCCCTGAGAAGAACTTAGCCCCACACCGGACTGACCTCCTCCTCCATTCCCATGCTCACTCGTAGCCCACAGAGCTCGGTCCACAGTGATGGCAGCTGAAGGGGGTCTGCCTCACCACCAACTATTGCCTCCTGAGGAGAGATGGAATAAGCATTACCTCCCTTGCTACAGAGGACAGACAGGAGGCCAGTAAGGCACACCCTCAAAGAGCTTCACAGTCCAGAATGAGCCCCATCCAATTAGTAGGTGCTGACTTAATGTTTATGAATAAATGAAGAAAGGACAATCAAATGAGTAAGTAAAACTAGGCAGCACAGATCAAATGAATGGTATGGTAGACAGTGTGGTAGGAGTTGATGGGAGGAAAGACCAGGTCTGAAGAAGTTGGAGGTGGTCACATATCATCTCTCCTTTTTGTGTTTGGATAATAATAATAATATAGCTAATATACAAGCACTTAGCACGTGACTGCCACTAATCTACACACTTTACGAATAATTCTTTTAATCCTGACAAAAATCCTACAAGTCATGGAGAGGTTAAGAAACTTGTGGAAGGTCACACAGTAATGGCAAAGTACTTGAACCTAGGCAGTCTGGCTTCAGAGCCTTGGCCACAAGACAGTTTAAAACTGAGTACTGACTTCAGATTTGTGCATTTCACTGCATGTAAATTTTGCCTTCCTCAGCACCCTCCCCAAAAGAAATGCAGATATAAATAAGCAATGGTAAAGAGTTTAGAGGTGAAATATACTAATGTTTGCAACTCTGAAAGGTATCAAAAATGAGATTAATTAATAGATAAGTGATAAAGCAAATATAGAAAAATGTTCAAGATTTAGGTGGTAGGGATATGTTCACTACACAATTCTTTCCATTTTTTTTTATGTTTAAACTTTTTAATAATAAATGTAAAAAAACTGAATATTGTCCAACTGTGCTGCAAGGAAAACATTGTGGATGGGAGAGGAGGGAAGTAGCAGAAAGTTTCTGAATATGAAGGAGAAAAAGCAAATGCATGTGGACCCAGGCACCAGATCCCCTTTTGACCCCTTGCCTCCACATGAGCTCCCCAGTCTTCACCTTCCTCAAGGACTGGGTGTGCAGCCCTCCAGCACCCATCTCCCTCTTAATCACAGTGCCACTAAGAGACCTTCATTCAGGTCTCTGTCCAGGGGTCCTTGGACCACTGCCCTGGTACTTAACATCAGAATGCTGCCTTTAGCAAGAAGTCCACCTGGATTGGCCATGCCTCCTTTCCCAACACCAACTTGTCATCAACTTTCTATCCTAGATCTAGCAGCAATGCTTATATAGATCTGGTTCAGCTGCCTTTGACTTTCCTGTTTGTTAATCATTCAGCGAACCAACCTGCTAGATAGAGCCCTAGAACACCAGGCGAGTTACTCCAGCTTCACCTGAGCTCCCAATCTGATGTCGGAGCCAGGGTGCGTGTTCACACATATACGCTGAGATCCTGAGCTCTCAGTGGATGTAGTGTGAGAGAGAATTGGGGAAAAGTTAATCAGGGATGGCACTCAGAAGAAGTGTACAGTCACCCATTACTTGTAGGGTCAATAGGATGGCTAGAGCTGAGGGGGATTACGGACTTCATTATAGTCCTAGGAGTCTGAAAGGAAAAATGTCATAACTCTAACCCTCAAAGCCTAACTTCCTTTTCTAACATTGCTGGGGATGTGCTGAGACTGGGGGAGAAATTAAAGTCAGAGAAAGGATGGCAACACTTCTCTCCACCCAGGCAGTTCTGGGCAGTCTAGAGTCAGTGCCTGCCTCCCACCCCCAGCAGGCCACAGGCTCTGGGTAAGCTGGGAGACAACAGGGACTCTGGTGGGGGAAACCTGGGAGGGGGGTGACACCTCAGAGTGAGGTAAGGCTGTGACAAGTAAAGGGAAAGTATGGCTTTGAGGTTTCCTGGGCCCTGGAGGAATCTTTTGTCCAGCTTCTTTCTCTGCTCCCCAACAAAATTAAACACAATCCACTTCTACCCCTACCGCCCATCGTGAAAACCTCAGGCCCTCCTCTCCACCTGTGCTTTTCTGCTCCCCACCCACACACCCCAGAATTCCTTTTGTACCCAGGAGGTTCTCAGGTTCCAGACCTTGGTCAGTGCATCTGGCTCTGGGATGAAGTCAGAGGGCCCCCTCTTTGCCCTCAAACAGGAACCAGTGGTTATAGGGCAGGAAGTGCCTGAGGGGAAGTGATGGGGCCCCAGACACACCTCCATGCCCCATTTCAGCCCATCAGTTATCTGCCCATGGGAAGTGGTTCTCCACTCCATCCTAGTAGGGTCCCCCTTCTCCTGAGTTGCTCTGGAGCTGAGCGAGCAGTTTCAGCTGCCAGATGGCACTGGACACTGCCCTCCCTACTTTTCCAACAGTCTCCACATGTACTCCAGACCCTGCCTCCTCCTCCTCCATCAGCCCCCTCACCAGAACCTAGAACAATCCAGTGCTAGAAACCTAACCTGCAAAGCACCTGATCAGCCTGGGGCAGAGGAAAGCGGGTGGGCTCTAGAGCTGGACAGCCCTGCCATTTCTGGGCTGAATATATGAGTATGATCAAGTCTCAGGGAAATAGGCATCTCTAGACCCTGGCCCCCTGGCCCAGCTCTCAGAGCAGGAGCTCCAA